TTTTGTATTTTTATTTTTTTTATGTTCAGATGAAACAATAACTAAATGCTAAACATTAGGTAGGGATATATTTAAAAGATACTTGAAAAGTTCTCTTCATTTAAACCCACTTTCAGTGAAATGACTCCTTTCATGTCAATGCTTGAGAAGGCTTTTCCCTCAACCTTCGTTAATGTTTACACAATCTCCCTGAGAGGCAGACCCAGAATCTAAGCTCCCTGAACATGCATCACGATCACTGTTAAATCCCTAACTCCATCTCAGCCCTCTGTCTTGGCTTTTACATCCACCTTCATTTTGGCATTGGCAAAATGCCAATGACTTGCATTGGCCAAAATGCCAATGAAATGACTTGGCATTTCATCCACCAAGTGTCCCACAAGTACCCCACACTTCCTCTCTACTTGATTCTTTGTTAATATTTGATTCTTTCCTCTAGGAAACTCAATATAGCAGTTTAAAAAAATTGTTAGTTTGTTTATTGACCATTTGGACATCCTCTACTTTGATACACCTGTTCAAGTCTGTTGCAATTTTTCTACTGGATAGCCCATTAGGTCCCTCATAGCCTTTATAAGTATTCTATTGGTATTAATTTAATTGGATCAATTTCACACCAGATTAGAGATATTATATCTCTTCTTTGTAAGCCTAAATTCAAGCACAATATTGACACAAAGTAACTGTGTTAAAATCTATAAGAATAAAATATTCATAAAACAATGCTAGCAAAAAATTTATAAATCATGCAAGATTGTGAAATGTGAAAAAATGAGTATTCTTCAGTTATACACATACACATATATTATTTTTCAGATTATTTTCCATTATAGGTTATTACAAGATATTAACTATAGCTCCCTGTGCTATATGGCAAACCTTTGTTCAGTGTTGGGTATCTAAAAAAATAAGTATTCTTAAAACTGGTTGAGGAAAAGTGGGCAGTAACTTGGCTTGTTTAGAAACATTATAATGAGTTCATATAATACAGATCCAGAAAAGCACAGTCATAATTACATGTACAAAAGACCATTTCTTAAAATTACATGTCTGTCAAAGGCAATAATGCCACCTGACTTTCAGGAAATTATTTTCAGAGTATATTTTATAATTAACACCTATAAAATATTTAAAATTGAGTTTTACATAGTAAGTTCTTCTTCAACACTATCCCTATATAGAAACTTATACCCTGCAAAAAAGACTGTACTTCGCCATAGCAACAGTTCTATATCAACTCCTACTCAAGTTAGAAAAAGCATATGTAAAAGAAATGAATATTCTGGAATATTCTGAAGTGCTTGCTGGAATAAATCGCTCCATTTATTTTGTAAAAATTCAAATACAAGAGTTCAACGTTTCTTTAAAACATCCCTGTCATTAGGCTAATTTAGTTTCTCAAATTTTGCTGTTTTAAATAGTGTAATAAATTACTTAAAAGAAAGGAGGGGAATGAAAAGGAAACAAAAATAAAAATTCAGTGTCAAGAATAACATACTTGAGATCAAGTTGACTGGTGTTTATGGGGATGGGAATAATAATAGGAAATGATGCTTCAAGTGATTTATAAGTAAACCAAGGTACTAAGTGGAACAGCTGTATTATTTTCTCAAGAAAAGCTACACCTTACTAGTATCATGGACACTGAAAAAGGAATTCTTATGTTCACACAGACTTCCTATAAAACACAATAAATACATTAGTGTCTGTTAACTTGGTTTGATATATCAAGCAACTTACAAATTCTCTAAGGAGAATAAACATGTTTACAGATATCAGAGATCTGGTTACGTACTACTCCAAGTTTTTGTATGATACTGCCAGCTAAAAATTGCCACCTTCCATTTGTCTCTATAAGGACTAAGTCATAAACCGCTGCAGCTGCTGTTCTCCAACACACCCTGAAAGGAGTTCAGGGTGGAGATCAGGAATCAGGTACTCCGGGCTTTGGGAAAAACTGGCAGACCAGGCCTTTAGATAGTTAGCTTATCTGCCGGAAAAGATTTTGAGCCCAATTCTTACATCTCCTCATATCTAGAACAGCACTACAATCATTAATGGTGACATCTGCTCCTTGTGACTAGCAGTAAGCATCTGCCAAAATGTGTGCTTGGCTGCACATACCCCACTTCACTAAAATCATACGTAACAATGGCCTTCCCCCCATGTCTCTGGAGCAATTCCTCGGAGCTATCTGAAACGCTATCTCCGGGGCTATAGTCCTCCTTTTGCCCCACATAAAACTTAATGCACAGCTCTCACATTGTGCATTTTTTTTCTGTCAGCAATATCAAAAATGTATTATTAAACTAGATATAATTCAAAGTATTTCCTTTCACTTGCCCCACCCTTGTGGTCAATCAAATTTAGCAGGATCACATCTCTGTCACCCTTGCACACAGCCCAAGATGGAATATTCTGTGATATTCCCAACTGCCTTGCTCTTCTGGGTTTCCTTTGTCTGACCTAATTTCCAACTGATTCCCTACATTTCAATTTTCTCACTGTCCTCTGAAAAATTCCCCAAGACTTTCATGTTTCTAACCTCCTCACTTAACATTTCCTTCACACGTCGACTTGAGCTGAAGCTGGCTGTTACTCCCCTGTGGTTTCTCATTTTAAGGATGAGCTTTTTGCCACATCCTATCATTTGTATCTCAGGGTTCAAAGGTTCTCCCATATCTGTTTCTTTAGAGCCTTTCCATCTCTACTTGTCTTCACCACAGGCATCTACATCTACCTCCAGCTCATCAAGTCTCCATCTCTTGGAATCTCTGACACCTGGACCACCTTCACATTCCACTACAAATCAAGTTGTCTGGGCAGTTTCAACACGCCCATGGATGTCTCTTTCTCAAAAGCTGTCCCTCCATCTCCTCCTCTCCAAAGACCTCCTCCACTTCTGCTACTCACCATCCAGGGCCATCCCTGGGATCTTTCCATCACCCAGCACACTGCCTCTGGAATCTGGAATTCAGGAGCCTCATTCTCCAATACAACTTCCCTCACTTAGCAACTCCTTCCATGCTAATTCTCTCATCTCATCACCAGATAATTTCACTGTGTTGACAGAGACTCCCTCCTTGATCAAATGCTAGTCAGGCTCCTCTGAGCCCACTCCGTCCCAACCTTGGCCTATAACAGCTGCAACCCTCTCGGCACAAATGATTTCATTCCCTCCCCACTAAGAGACTAGAACAAAAGCCAGCATATAGTTCTACTTAACAGCTCAAGGCCACAATCTTGGGATGATCCCAGTCCCCATTAAAGTCCCTGCTTACAAAAGCACAACACTGCCAGGAAATAATTTGTATTTGTTCCAGCCAAAACCTAGTGAAAGATAGACATCAAACCTACTTTTTGAGCAGTTACTTCATAAATCCTGTGTTTATAAATCCTTTCTCTAACCCCTTTAAGAAGTAAGTCTTCCACCACTTAGAACTGCGTGTGGCACCTCTCTGAAATGCAAACACCCATGGAGTAACTCTCACTGTCCTTCTCAGTCCCCACGGGAGGGGATCAGCCACAGCTGCCCGTTATGAAACCCAGGAAGGGTTTCACATTAACCAACCCCTTTTCTCAATTTTTCTGTTTCCACTTCTGTGAACCTGCCCATGCCCAGCCCTCCTCCCTACTTGCTCATTCTTACTTGAAGACACCCAGTCATCTCTGAAAGGGCGGCAAAGGAGGTGGTTAGATGACAACACCGACTCAACGGGCATGAATTTGCACAAACTCTGGAGGACAGAGGAGCCTGGCGTGCTACAGTCCATGGGGTGGCCAAGAGTCGGCCACGAGTTAGTGACGGAACAAACAGAAACATCTCTGCACAAACTGTACTCAGTTCAAGCTAGACTCTTTTTCCTATGCAACAATATTACTGAGTAAAATTACCCTTATCACTTGAATTAGCGCATGGCTCTGTTTATCATGGACAAGGTAACTCTGTGTAACAAACACACACAAGTTCGCTTTTTTCTGCAGGCTTAAATACTCTTTTGCTAGCATTCTCAATCCTTTAGGAAAAATAAAAAAATAAAAACTTTTAAACTCCTTAACACGGCTTTAAACAAGTTGGCCTCTTCCTTGTTTCTGACACTTTTTCTTTATATTCTATGCCCCAACCTTACGCAACATCTTTCAGTTCTCTGAACCCACCGGCGCTGCCTCAGACTCTACCATCCTGGCTCCTGCCCTGGAATACTCGTCTCCATTTCCCTAGTCTGCACTGACTCACTCTCTCTTCAGTCAATATCTCATCCCTGGGAAAGCTTCCAAAACACTCTCTCTAACACTGGGTTACGTCAATCTGCTACATGCTCTGTGACATCCAGTCTCCTGAATCCTGGCCTGAGCGAGTCACATTATAATAATCTATCTTCACTGCTAGACCACAAGCTCGCTATAGGCAGGGAATACTTCTGTCTTGCTTTCTACTGTCTGTCCTAATACTCTGCTTCACTACCTGGTGCTAAATAGGTACTCAGTAAGTACGTGTTAGTTGGATAAATACTGTAAATCATTAATGTTCTACAAGGGAACCCTAGCCCATACAACAAAAATTCTTTTTTTTCTTAATGACAAAAATTCTTATCACTGAAATCAGCTGAAGCATCTGTGATCCTTTCACAAAACATCTGAAAACAGACCATAAGACAGCCTATACTATACACCAACAGGAATTTGCAAAATCATGGTGTGATTCCTCTCCATTAGCATCTGTGGGCATTTAAAAATATATAATATTTTTGCTAGATTACCAAGAATAACTAATTAAGGCTAATCTTTTAGTTGCTAAATTGTTCCTTCTATGGATAATCTTTCATTGGAAATAGCACTGACGCCATATATGGTGTTGAATATAAAACTACAGTCATGGGTTAGTTGACTTAAAGCCAAAGGTAAAACCTGGGTAAATTTTTAAAATATCATATGGTATTTAAAAGTTCAAGATCAAAGTTATCATCTTCAACCTATTTTTGACATGATGTGGTACTTACTGACAAATCTGTACTGTTGGGAACAAACTGGTCCTGCTCTCCCAGCAGCACGTCAATCACAGGGTGCCGGCCATTTTTTATTAGGATTTTCCTTTCTTCTTGTAGAGTTGGTCTGCGAGAAGAAGCATGTTTCAATTGACAAGGCAAGGAAAGAGACTTTTAAAATATCTCAAAAATCATGAAGATTTTTCTGGACAGTCTGTCAGACACATAACCAAACCTTAAACATGGACTTTAAGAACATATGCTCAGGACAAGGCTGAGTATAAAAGTTTAAACTCAAATGTAGAATCAGAACTGGAAAGACAATTATGATAATTACAGTGCTCTGAAGCACAAACTTTAGAAAACTGAGATCTCCCTTATAAGATCCTTTTTCTTTTTTTCTTTTTCTACTACTCTCTAAGATATAGTCATTAAAAAAAAAAGAATTACAGTTCAGATTATTGCTACTTAAATCATTTTAAGCAATAAACAAAATTTTAAAAATCATGCAAAATTATTTATAGATTATCACATTCATATAAATTGTATGTTGGACCTGGGGACAGAATGACCTAAAAGTTTCACATTCTGTTTAATTAAAACATCTTTATATGGTCTTTAGTATCTTTTACATTTTTTTGATATAAAAAATGTTTATTTGCCTTGTTTGTTTTTCAGGTTTTATATTTCTGTTTTTACCGATAACTTCATCGACTTATCCGAGCTCTTGTGACCATCAGCCTTCTCTCAGTCTCCTCCCCAGAGGGTTCAACTGAGAGCAGTTTGGTGTCTACCTTTCCCAATGTTCTTCTATGCATTTAAGTTTCCATAAACTCAGTGTATCGCTTTCTCATTTCTTCTTAAAAAATAAACAAACAACAACAAAAACCAAGAATCATACTGTAATTTATCATTCAACAACTACTTTTTTCTCCCCTTAATAGTCCTTGATACCTATAAAAGATAGACTTCACCATTTACCATGTGGGTCCAATGGACTCTGTCATTTTATTTCTTTAAAACTTTCTAAGTCATTTTAAAAGTACTATGTAGAATTGAGAAAAAAATAATAGTGAGGGGAAAACGTCATGACAATTAATAAGAATCCAAACACAGCAAATTTCAAATTTTTAGTCCATATTTTCCAGGTTTTTAAAGCACATGTAGGGCTTCCCTGGTGGCTCAGTGGTAAGGAATCCGCCTGCCAGTGCAGGAGACCCAGGTTCAAACTCTGGGTCGGGAAGATCCCCTGGAGAAGGAAATGACAACCCCATTCCAGCATTCTTGCATGGGAAATCCCATGGACAGAGGTGCCTGGCAGGCTACAATCCATGGGGTCGCAGAAGAGTTGGACACAACTTAGTGACTAAACCACATACCTGGAATGGGCAACACACTATGAATCTAAGTAACAGTTCATCAGCTGTCATGCAGGCACATGGACGATATTCACTTATAAATACTAAGTCTAAAGTTCAATACATTTCTAATAGATTCTAGCTTATCCTTATTTCTGGTTCTTCTCCCACTTGTGATGAAAATGCATGTTTGAAGAACTTTTTGAAATCTTTTAAAGTTCATAATTTTGTTAAAGAGAAGATAGCTATCTTCTTTGCTTCATAATTACAAAACATTTCATACCTGTATTTATAAAGACAATTAGAATAATCAAGCAAATGAGTACTTTTCTTTTATATCATCTATTTTCTTTCACTCTCCTGCTTTAGCACCTATCCCCAAGCAAACGGTATCAAAATTTTAGGACACAAATATCATAAAAGAATACTCTCAGATGTGTTTTTAGCAAATCACGATGGTTCCAATCTTGTCACTAAGTACTGCATGATGGGTGCATCTTTTGGAATAACAAACTGAGTAAGAATACTCCATTTCACTTTGCCCTCACAAATATATTATCCACACACACCTAAGATATATTATCTGCACATTCATAATCTGAGATTTTGTTTTATACAAGAAATTTCACTACCATCCTTAGTATCTGCTGCTGCTGCTAAGTCACTTCAGTCGTGTCCGCCTCTGTGTGACCCCATCGATGGCAGTCCATCAGGCTCCACCGTCCCTGGGATTTTCCAGGCAAGAACACTGGAGTTCCAGTAATGAAATGATTCCTAGGATGATGCAATAGTAAGGCATTCCAGACAAAAGCAAGATAAAAATTATTAAAGATCTCAAAATGCATTTCAGAGTTGTAAAAGGGTCAAGTGGGCCCATCTGGTGAATATAAGACTGAATAAATTTTATTCTCCTTTAAAAAAAAAAGAAAAGTAAATTTTCTCTTTGTTCTTTGCAAGACCTTTAAAAAACTCAAAAGCTGAAAAATCGGTCCAGTGAACCCTGATGGTATGGAATACTGAAGATGAAGGATGATTCCTTGGAGGCATTCTTTCGAAGCTGCTGAATAGCACGTTAGCTATCTCCACTATGGAACATTCAGACAGTCTAGACTTTCAATGTTATAAACAATGCTCCAATGAACAAACACATTTACACATACATGTGCATATTTTCAAGTGTTCCTCTAAGCCAGAGGAAATGCTTGAAGTGGAATTTCCAAATCATAGGACATGCATCTTTTTAAATGCATGTTAAAATTAAAATAGCTTTCAATTAAAACTCAGGCCCATCAATTCGGTGATGCCATTCAACCTGGATGCCACTCATCCTCTGTCATCCCCTTCTCCTCCTGCCTTCAGTCTTTCCCAGCATCAGGGTCTTTTCCAATGAGTCAGTTCTTCGCATCAGGTGGCCAAACTCTGGAGTTTCAGCCTCAACATCAGTCCTTACAATGAATATTCAGGACTGATCTCCTTTAGGATGGACTGGTTGGATCTCCCTGCAGTCCAAGGCACTCTTAAGAGTCTTCTCCAACACCATAGTTCAAAAGCATCAGTTCCTCAGTGCTCAGCTTTCTTTATAGTCAAACTCTCAAATCCAACTCACACATACATGACTACTGGAAAAACCATACCTCTGACTAGACAGACTCTTATTGGCAAAGTAATGTCTCTGCTTTTTAATACGCTGTCTAGGTTGGTCATAACTTTTCTTCCAAGGAGCAAGGGTCTTTTAATTTCATGGCTGCAGTCACCATCTGCAGTGAATTTGGAGCCCAGAAAAATAAAATCTGTCACTGCTTCCATTGTTTTCCCATCTATTTGCCATGAAGGGATGGGATGAGATGCCATGATCTTAGTTTTCTGAATGCTGAGTTTTAAGCCAACTTTTTCACTCTCCTCTTTCACTTTCATCAAGAGGTTCTTCAGTTCTTCTTCACTTTCTCCACNAGATCTTTTTTGTACAGTTCTTCTGTGTATTCTTGCCACCTCTTCTTAATATTTTCTGCTTCTGTTAGGTCCACACCATTTCTGTCCTTTACTGTGCCCATCTTTGCATGAAATGTCCCCTTGGTATCTCTAATTCTCTTGAAGAGATCTCTAGTCTTTCCCATTCTATTGTTTTCCTCTATTTCTTTGCATTGATCACCGATGAAGGCTTTCTTATTTCTCCTTTCTATTTTTAGAACTCTGCATTCAAATGGGTATATCTTCCCTTTTCTCCTTTTCCCTTAGCTTCTCTTCTTTTCTCAGCTATTTGTAAGGCTGCCTCAGACAATCATTTTGCCTTTTTGCATTTCTTTTCTTGGGGATGGTCTTGATCACTGCCTCCTGTACAATGTCATGAACCTCCATCCATAGTTCTTCAGGCACTGTATCTATCAGATCTAATCCCTTGAATCTATTTGTCACTTCCACTGTATAATCATAGAAAGAAAGAAAGAGAAGTTGCTCAGTCGTGTCTGACTCTTTGCGACCCCATGGACTGTAGCCTACCAGGCTTCTACATCCATGGGATTTTCCAGGCAAGAGTACTGGGGGTCTGATTTAGGTCATACCTGAGTGGTCTAGTGGTTTTCCTTGCTTTCTTCAATTTAAGTCTGAACTTTGCAATAAGGAGTTCATGATCTAAGCCACAGTCAGCTCCTGGTCTTGTTCTTGCTGACTGTATGAGAGCTTCTCCATTTTTGGCTGCAAAGAATATAATCAATCTGATTTCGGTGTTGAACATCTGGTGATGTCCAGGTGTAGAGTCTTCTCTTGTGTTGTTGGAAGAGGGTGTCAGCTATGTCCAGTGTGTTTTCTTGGCAAAATTCTGTTAGCCTTTGCCCTGTTTCATTTGGCACTTCAAGGCCAAATTCATACCCTTATCTATTAATAAATTTGGTATTATCAAACATTCTAATTTTAAGTGTAATCTCATTGTTTAACTTTGCACTCACTGATTCGTAACGTTGAAGTTTTTTCATCAATTTCTTGACCCCTTTTCTTTTTCATCTTAATATCCTATTAGTGATCTCGAGTGTTTAGACTCAGACCTTTCACATATAAGCACATTTCTGAATGTACTCATAACACCAAGAAATAATACTTTCCTGAATACTTGAATTCTTAAATATATCTGACTAACAAAACCCCAAAAGCACGCACTCACATCTCTCAAAGAAAGTTATTAAAGTATCTCCTAAGTAGATAATTTGAAATCATCTTTTGAAAGGGGACATTTAAAGCACAAGAAAATGACAATTTTTAAATTTTAGAGTACAATTTTAAAACAGAATTTTTATCTAGATAGGTTACGAATATACTGTAAAGAAAAAAAAGATGAAACCAACTCTAAGTTATATAGTTTTAAAACTCTAAGTGCTCTGCCAAATGAAATCAACGTATCATATTCATGACACTGATATGACTTCCCAGGAAGGTTTTCACTTCAAAGCAAAAATCTGAGTGATTTGTTCTGCTCTAAAATATACACTGACTTACTCTGTTGCCTTCAAAACTACATAATGACAAAACACTTCCTGGTACAGTATGAAGCGAAGGATTATTCAGACCTGAGAAGATTTATTAGGACAGGACAGTGAGAGCAGAAAGATATGAAATGCTGATGGCATTCAGTGGCACTGCAGAGAAAGAACTGAGAAAATCTGGATGCTGCCTGAAAAGAAGGAAACATTAAACAAATTTACCTATTTTATTTTATATTTTTGAAACTGCATCATTCTCCTTTAAATAGCCAGAGAAACAGAATAACAGTCTATATTAGTAAAAATGTACAATGTCCAGAATACGAATTGGATAGAAAGACCTAGAATAAGAACTTTTGCATAACGATTTAGAATATAGTAATAAAATGTCCTAATATTAATAACCTCAGATATGCAGATGACACCACCCTTATGGCAGAAAGTGAAGAGGAACTAAAAAGCCTCTTGATGAAAGTGAAAGAGGAGAGTGAAAAAGTTGGCTTAAAGCTCAACATTCAGAAAACTAAGATCATGGCATCTGGTCCCATCACCTCATGGGAAATAGATGGGGAGACAGTGGAAACAGTGTCAGACTTTATTTTTTTGGGCTCCAAAATCACTGCAGATGGTGACTGCAGCCATGAAATTAAAAGACGCTTACTCCTCGGAAGGAAAGTTATGACCAACCTAGATAGCATTTTAAAAAGCAGAGACATTACTTTGCCAACAAAGGTCCGTGTGGTCAAGGCTATGATTTTTCCAGTGGTCATGTATGGATGTGAGTTGGACTGTGAAGAAAGCTGAGTGCCAAAAAATTGATGCTTTTGAACTATGGTGTTGGAGAAGACTCTTAAAGAGTCCCTTGGACTGCAAGAAGATCCAACCAGTCCATCCTGAAGGAGATAAGTCCTGGGTGTTCACTGGAAGGACTGATGCTGAAGCTCAAACTCCAATACTTTGGCCACCTCATGCGAAGAGTTGACTCGTTCAAAAAGAGTCTGATGCTGGGAGGGATTGGGGGCAGGAGGAGAAGGGGACGACAGAGCATGAGATGGCTGGATGGCATCACTGACTCGATGGGCGTGAGTTTGAGTAAACTCCGGGAGTTTGTGATGGACAGGGAGGCCTGGTGTGCTGCGATTCATGTGGTCACAAAGAGTTGGACACGACTGAGTGACTGAACTGAACTGAATAACATTTAGAAAGAAGATTATAATTATGAAGCCAATGATCAATTTAATATACTGCAATAACTCGTGTGCCTAAAAATCTTTAAACAAGCTGGAAATCTAAGGGAAAAGAGCATAAACTTCAGATTATTTAGATACTAGTTTAAAATGCATTTTAGAAAAAAACTTCCTATTTCATGGCTATTTACATTCAATTTTATGGCTGCCAAAAAAAAGAGAGAGAGAGAGACTGATTGTATTGCTTAAAGATAATGGCACTATTTTCATTTAAAAATTTTCAGGTGAAGTTTTCTTACTATAAAGTATATAGTGTCCAATGTGGAAAGTACTTTAGCATGTGACACTTTCTGAAACTGTCTTACTGACAGAAGGTGTGGTTTAGAACAATCCTACTGAGGACAAATAAAAGGCTGGATAAAATATAGAAAACCTGTACTTTACTTCAAGGATACTACTTGAGGCCACCTGACAAGTAACCAGACAACAAGGAATTACCAGGCCAGGATCTGGGGTAGAACAGAGGACAGAGGGCCAGTGAGGGTCTTTGCTGATTTTTGCTGCTTTCTGAGGGGATGCTGAGCACTATGAACAGCTTTAATCTGGACTGAGACACCAAAAGCCTGCACACCAGGCAGAAGACTGGATCTGAAGTGAGAACTGCAGGCTCTGAATCTTTGAACTTTTGAATCTTTAACCGTTTGAATTTCTGAACCTTCTCAAGCTCTGAGGTGGACTAAGTGATGCCAGAACATCATTAGTGTCTTGAGATGTGACCCTTTCAGAGAAATATACATCAAATTATTTCTACAAGTGATTTTGCAAATATAATGCCCAGAAGATAATCAAAACAATCAGGCACTCAAAGAGATGCATGAATGAAAATGAACAGAAACAACAGGCAATAGAAAGAGACCCACAAGGACTACAGACATATGAGTCATCAGACACAGACTTTGAGATAACTATGCTTACCACATTCAAAGAGACAGAAAAGATTGTGAACTGATAGAAAACAAAAGTGATTTTTAAAAAATAAATAATGATAGGTATAAAGATACTAACAACCCTTAAGCTCAGATGTTGTTTTCAAAGGCAAAAAAATTTTACAATACTTGATTCTTTCTGATTTTTGAATAAACATCAGTGAGTAACTATTGCTGTTTATTAAGTATTTATCAGCTGCCTGGTTTTCTTTAGAAATTTCACCAAGTCTTTATCTCATTTAATTTGTACATTTCTAAGCGGTAGGTATTATTTTGTGAAGAATATGAAGAATCTGAGGAGCACAGAGGTTATGAAACTTAGTTTAAGGTTAGTGGTTAAAATAACCAGCCTGGTGGTCAAACCTATACCCCTGGGAGGTGATTAGGTCTCAAGGGCAGAGTCCTCAGGAATAGGATAGTCCTCTTACATAAGAACCCAGCGAGCCTCCGAAAGGGCTTCACAGCGAGCCAGCAACGCAGAACTGCAGCCGAGGGGAGCTGCTGGAATGAGCCCAGGCGCAGAACACCAAGCAGAAGCGGGGCCACCTCGGAAGCAGAGCTTGGCCAAGGAACGAACCACTGTAAGGACTGGGCAGCCTGGGGCCCTAGGGGCCGAACCTCTGCCCAGCGAAGCTATGGCCACAGGATTGCTACCCCCTTGAGTCTGGAACACAGGACCCTTTTGTCCCCGTGGGCCTGGAAGGCAGAGCACTGAGCCAAAGCTTTAGCTTAGGATTCAGACTTCAGGATGAGCAATTTGAGAGCAACTGAGTGGAATTTGCCTAAAAATGAATCATACCTTAAGTCTCCCCCATACCTGATTTAGATGATGTTTAAATGAGACTTTTATAATTACAAAGTTAAACATATCATAAGTGTTCAAGTGAATGCTAACAAATGAAAGGATTGCTCCTCTATAAAAAATGTCACCCACATAAATCTAAAAATTGAAATATGTAACATTTCCCTCTAGTTATAGTCATCATCTGCTTTCATTGTACTCAATGGGAGAGCAAGAAAGGAATTTCTTAATTTTAAATCAAGCTATATGTGTATGACATTCAGCTTTACCAAGAGTTCAATATATCTGAGTAATTTTAATACTGTATAATGAAAGTGAAAGTTGCTTAGTCAGGTCTGATTCTTTGTGACCCCATAGACTATACAGTCCATGGAATTCTCCAGGCCAGAATACTGGAGTGGGTACCATTCCCTTCTCCAGGGGATCTACCCAACCCAGGGATCAAACCCAGGTATCCCGCATTGCAGGCAGATTCTCTACCAGCTGAGCCACCAAGGAACACTAAAATTAACTGAAAAATTCTATCTGTTCTAAAGCACTGGAAAAGGGCTGAAGTTAAAAAAAAAAAAATACATTACCTGCAGTAATCTCCTTGTTTAGCGACCTTGGCCAGGGAGAAAATGCAGTCAACCGTTGCTAGGTGATGGACTGCTTTACACAAGGAGTGATAATGTTCACTGAAACTCCTACAGAAGCAACAATAACAACAAAAAAGGTGAGCAAACTGACTTCTTAGAACTATAAAAACTGTACAATAAGTAATCAGTTTGGTAGCTATGATGAGCATAAACAAATAACCAGGCACACAGCTAGCAGTTAAGAAAGGTGGAAACTACATTGAACTATTTTCTGCTTAATAACTTGATTACCGAGACTTTATTTGAAAAAAAAAAATATATATATATAAATATTTTAAAATAGTTTCTTTACAAAGATGTCTACTATTAATACCATATTGCACATTTCATCTGACCATGACCCTGAACTCAGACCTAATTAACACTAATGTAGAGATTATTTTCACTTAACTTAAATGACATCATGAACTACCCATATGGATCAGCTTCCCTTTGCACATATCCTTCATAGCATTGTCCAAACTAGGAAAACAATTTCAATATCTTCTTCTAAAATTTACTGGAAGTGTCTCAAAGGTAGAGCTCATCAGGTTCACCTGATTTACTTATCTAACATCTAACCATAGAGTTGACATTGCAATAAATTTTTTGAAGGCAAGTAAAAAGAAAGGTACTTTTAAAAGTGATCTTCAGTTTTCTTATTAATAATTCATATAGAAATTAAATATGAGACTTGTTTTTAAAAAGGTCTGTCACTTCAAATCTTTGGCTAATTAGGTAGCTGGTGATCTAAAAGTTTAAAAGACTTGCACTGAAAGACTTATTCTAGAAAAAACATATGCTGTATGTAGGGGTTTTCCTTTCCTTTTTTTGCTTGCTGCTGCTGCTGCTAAGCCACTTCAGTCGTGTCCGACTCTGTGCGACCCCATAGACGTCAGCCCACCAGGCTCCCCTGTCCCTGGGATTCTCCAGGCAAGAACACTGGAGTGGGTTGCCATTTCCTTCTCCAATGCGTGAAAGTGAAAAGTGAAAGTGAAGTTGCTCAGTCGTGTCCGACTCTTAGCGACCCCATGGACCACAGCCCACCAAGCTTCTCTGTCCATGGGATTTTCCAGGCAAGAGTGCTGGAGTGGGGTGCCATTGCCTTCTCTGTTTTTTTTGCTTAGATACTTCTATTATCTCTTATCATAGGAGTTCCTTATAACTTTCTAAAGATAATCCTCTCCAAAAGAGATGAGTATTATACTGAATGCCTCTCTTAAAAAATATTTCTCTATTTAATACTGCGGGTTTCAAAAACTAAGAGATTTAGTCTGTTTGCTTCTTAAATCCAAAGGTTTTTAGAGTGCTTCCTACTAGAAAAGGACATCCAGATTAAGCTGCTATGTGATCAGTTATTCCAATATTATTACCACTATACTGATTTTTTAGAATCCGTAATTTGATTTTTTATTAATATTAAAATAAGATATCCTATATAGATAACTCTTCCAGATACTAGAACATTTTAAATATTCAGTTTTAATTCTAACTATTTGTGAATTACTGAGTATATTTACAGTATATTTTAAACTTCTTTGTCTGAGTAGATACAGCACTGTTGTTGTTCAGTTGCTAAGTTGTGTCCAACTCTGTGATGCCACAGACTGCAGCACGCCAGGCTTCCCTGTTCTTTCACTGTCTCCCTGAGTTTGCTCAAACTCCTGTCCAACCATCTCACCCTCTGTCTTCCCTTCTCCTCCTGCCCTCAATCTTTCCCAGCATCAAGGCCTTTTTGAATGAGGCAGCTCTTCATATCAGGCGGCCAAAGTATCAGAGCCTCAGCTTCAGCATCAGTCCTTCCAATGAATAACTCAGGGTTGATTTCCTTTAGGATGGACTGGTTTGATCTCCTTGCAGTCCAAGGGACTCAAGAGTCTTCTCCAGCACCACAGGTCTAAACCATCAATTCTTCAGTGCTCAGCCCTGTTTATGGTCCACTTCCATAGATGACTACTGGAAAAACCATAGCTTTGACTATACGGACCTTTGTCAGCAGAGTGAGAACCTCATGAACAAGGAGAGCATAATGAATACAATTTACCTGTTTCCCCCAAATTAAAGTTACTCAGAAGGAACTACATGGTTACCACTAACAATGTTAAGAGCATGTGCAGAATACCAAACACAAAGGAGACTACACCTGACAGCAAACGGGAGCACTCAGTTGCCACCTTAAAAATGGCTCTTAGTGTTGAAGATGTCACGTGCTCTGTGGACGTAAGGCTCCTGAGGGTGCCTTGTCATTCCTAGTAGCTTCAATTTTAGATCTGACTGCTCATCTACCCCTTGGACTATGGCTCATTCTGTCCCTATTCTAATTACTGATCCATCTGGTCTTCCTATCCTGGTACTCTCTCCTTTGCCAGAGAGCAGCCATATTTGATATTTCTGCTCTTGCCTCTCTGAATCCAAGTGTTCAATGTATCTGTGGCACTACAGTAAAAAAAATAAAAAACAGCCAATTTTTTCTTACCCCCACTCCTTCCTTCTCAGCTCCTGTCCAGGCCACTAATTTATCACTACCTAATAGCCTTAGGTTGAGGATAACTGTCCCTGATGATCTAACTTCTGGGATTGAAATAAGTAATGTAACTCTTGGTCAGTACCATTTCAGCTTAGCAACAACACAAAAGGCAGGAGAGAGAAGGTAAATTATTTAGCTGTGGACAACAATGTTCCTTCTCATGTCAACTGTATAAATAAGGCATGTGAAAAAAAATTTTAAGCTATCATAAACCTTAAACTCACCATCACAACTCTTATAAAGCCTTGCTTGACTTCTTCGTCTTTGTCTATTTGTTATTCTTGACCAAATTCCAAAGAGATCATCTTCGAAAAATGACAGGTTGAAAAATGGACCATTCAGGTAACAATCTGATAGACTTGGGTTTATGTCATAACAACATACAACTTTATCACTAAGCCACCAAACAACTTCAACTAATCACTGTGATTTAATCTCAAAAGGTATTGCTGGGTCCACGGGAAGGAGATTAAAGACACTTGGGTTCTAAAGTTATTATGACAGTTTACCATCTGATGTTATTCAATAATATTTATTTGAAGTTAATTAAATAGGAGAATATTATTTTCTATTTGCAAATGTATTTCTAAAATACTTGAACTACTGTATGAGAGGTAATTTTATTCAATTATTCAATTGAATAATATTCAATAATCTTATTATTAAAGGTTTTTCCATTAAGATTATTCAATATCGAGAGCCTATCTTTTAGAACATGAAAGAAGAGACACTGTTTTTTGAGAGGGGGTTCCATTCACAGACTTTCTTACAGCCTTGACTTCTTGCAATATTTCAATAAAAAGTAATGTGACTAATGGACAACTGTTAGTATCTCGGTAAGAGACAAAAACACTTGTATAGCTGGTATTCAATCCTCTGGTGTCAGGTTCAATAAGGTTAATCATTTTTGAAATGACATTATATTCACACCATCTGGCACCTCAATAAATAGTATGTCTAACAATCAATGCTGTTCTCATGGGGGCTCTAGCTACAAATGTTGTAGCTAAATTTCAGCCAATATTCTTCCTTTAGATAAAAAAAATTATATTTTTCTGTTTGAAAGTAATATATGTATATTACAAAACTTTTGATATCATGGATCTGCAAAATACAATAAACTTCCAGTAATCTCACCCTCCAGAATTAATCAGTTAATATTTGAAACTATTTATATATATATGGCCAATAAGCATATTAATAACAGCATGTGTATTTAATATTTTAAAATACAAAAATGTGTACACTGTGCATGTATGTGAATTTACACATACAGAACTGGCATTACATTTTTAACACTTTTCATCCTTTTTTAACTTAGCAATATCATATCATATTCTTCTGTGATGTTTTATTTAATGTTCGCTTACTCTCAGCAACTCCCAACTCCAGCCAAGCCATGGTATGATGAGAGTAGGATTCTCCTGGGTTAATGGGGTAGGAGGGCCCAGGCAGAGGGCTGACACAGTGAGGATGGAAGGGTGTGAGATGACAGGAGAGGAAGGGGCAAATCAAAGAGATGTTTTAAAGAGAAAAAAGACAACCAGGAATTCGATAATAGATAAAGGGGAAAAAAGGAATAAAGAATCAGGATAGTGCCAACATCTTTACCCTGGGAGAGCTGAACTTTCTCTACTCTAGAATCATGAAAGAACATAACCCAGACCTATAAAATCACACCCACTATGTAGACAGTGAAGACGAACAACCTCATTGAATCCCAGGACCCTAGAATACAGTCCCTGAAGCTTGAAAGGGAAAACATTAGTCCACTTTTCATGTTCTCAGTGATATCGTTAAGGGGAAAGTCAGGAAAACAGAAACTCAAGAGCCCTGAAAACCCTCAGCCAGGGTGATTGAAAGCAAGTTGGAAAAGGAAGTGAGTAGGCCAAATTTCTATCCCCAGATTCAAGACTCAGAGTCAAGATAATTCCAAAAGATTCAGGGTAAGTGTACTGAAATCTCTTTCTGATCCTGTAATTCAAAACTCCTCTGGGCAACAAGAGATGGTACTAACCTACTACCTTTTAAAAACTGTCACATACTATCTTTTTTGCTCCTCTTTTTTCACTTGTCAGAGTTGTTACTTTAAATGGAAAAAAGTTCCCTGAAGACTACACTGAATATACTGTTTAAAATTTTAAAGAGCAAGACAGAGATTTCCCAGCGATGCCCATGGACTGATTCACCACAGGCGGGCGCTACAGCCTGACAGCACAGGGCACACGCCCTACCACCAGACACCCTGGGCTGAATCTGTGTTACAGTCTTATTGTGGGCAACTTATCCTTTATTTCTGTCACTCGCCTTATTCATTTGTAAACTGGGGATGATAATAATATTTCACTCTTAGAGCTCTTGTGAAGCAAAATGAGCTAATAAACAAAGTGCTTAGGTGACTGGTGGTCTGGAGCTGGCTCCTATGGACTCATGAAAGTCAACTGCGTGCACATCTCTTTCCAATCCAGGCCAGCAGGAGCTTGCAATCAGTCCTGGTGGGTGTAGTGACACCACAGAAATCAAACACACACTACTGCTCTCCAGAGAGCTGGCTATTCACCATTTATCAGAACACCACCAACTTAAAACTATTAAGATGAACATGAGATTGTTAATAAATCCAGAAAGAGACATTCTTTGAGACAATGACATGGATGCCTCCCCTCTAAATTTCATAATATAAAGGTATAGGGCTATTCTAGATTAAAATACACTAATGAAACTTAATAAACAAATGCAACATGTGAAGGTTTCTTTTAAATACGGGAGGAGGGAAAATCACAGTCATGGAGAAAAGATTTGTGGTTGTCAAGGAGGAGGGGGCTGAGGGAGAGAAGGTCTGGGAGCTTAGGATTAGCAGATGCAGACTATTATATATAGATGAGTAAGCAACAAGGTCCTAGTGTATAGCACAGGGAAATGTATTCAATATCCTATGATAAACCACAATGGAAAAGCATATAAAAAAGGAATGTCTATATGTATGTAACTGGGTTACTGTGCTATATACAGCAGAGTTTGGCATAACTGTACATCAACTGTAAATCAATCAACTTCAATAAAAAAATAAAAATAATAAAAATATGGGGAGAAGAGGAATTGAGACTATTTAAAATTTAACTTAGTAGCTGCAATCCATGCGTTGCAAAGAATCAGACATGACTGGGCAACTGAACAACAACGATTAAACTTTCCTAGGTATAATAGTGATAGCAAAATTATATAGCAAAATGTCCTTATTTTTAGAAGATGTATGCTTAATTATTTAGGGTCAAAGTATTATAATGTCTAAAACTTACTTTAAAATGTTTCAGAAAAAAAAATGTGAGGGAGATATAAAACAAATGTAGTAAAATCTCAACACTTTAAATAAACCTAGTAAAGAGTACAGAGATCATCATTTCAACTTTCCCATAGATTTGAATTTTTTCAAGATACAAAGTAGAGGGAAAGAGGTAAAGGATGCAAAAATACAAGAAAAAAATTAAATGCAGCTAGTGGGCTGGCCAAAAACATTGTTCGAGTTTTCCTGTAATATCGTACAGACTTTGTTTCCTGGAACAACAAACTTTTTGGCTAATGCAATAAAACAACTAACCCATACTTGTCCAACTCTGAAAATGTTAATTAAGCCTTTATACAAGAAAAGTAAACAAAATCCAAGGTAGAATTTCAAAATGACATTACTAAACATCCTTAGCAACAAAATGTTAGTACAGTAACAAAAAGTATATTTGGTCTCTTACCAAAGACTAAGATGAGCTTACATTTAAATAGATTAAAAATAAAATCAGAGAACACATGTACTCAACTATTTTATGGCAGGTCAAAAGCAGTAATCTTTACTTTTCTTTTTGGTGGAAAAATTTTCCGGTCTATTTCTCATAGCAAAAAGTCAGATTATATTTTTCATTGTAAACTCACTCTAGAAAAGCAAGCCATTCAGCACTGCAGTCAAGGACTAGCTGCTCCCGGAGCTGATTCAGATGTCTGTAATTTTCTACAATAAAAGGAGAGTGAAAGCGGCTCACAGCTTTTGTGCTAGAAGAGGAGAAAAAACATAAACAGGAAATCAAGGTTACTAAGAAGTCAGTAATGCCATCACTTCAGAAAATTAGTTATTTTTCTCTGATGAACCTTGAAAGTAAATAGCTGTAAATAGAGAACATTCTTTAATTATGATCCTGAATTTTATTGATTCCAAAGATCTTTATTGTAAATAAAGTATTTAAAGTTCAGAGGACTTTGTTTAGGAAGCTTTTAAAATTCAAATTATATCCATATGGCAAAAATCAAAGTTTAGAATTTTTGTTTCATAAGTAAAGAGGTTTTTTCCTATAAATTATACAAAATGAAAATGTTTGGTTTAAAAAAAAAAAGATCAGAAGCAAATATAACAAAGTTAAGTCCTAACAAATCAGAGAGTTGGATATATTGGTGAAGGTCATATCATTTTTCATATTTTATACTTTCTGTATGATTAAAGTATTTCAATTAAAAAAAAAGCATTACTATGAACAGCAATGTATTAATTCAGGAGGCAGTCAAAGAAGGGTTCATGATCCAACTGCAGATTCACAGTGACCCTGGATGGGAAGAAATATCATGTGCTCCTCCTCTGAGCTTGCAAACAATCTCTGCTTCCTCATCAAGAAGTTACGGAACACAATGGTGGATGCTATGGGTCCCCAGTCAGAGAATCCACAGTAAGATTCCAACTTTGTCAGTTACTCGCTATCTATGTGACTCTGGGCCAATAAAACTGATTTTGTCTAAACTAAAAACTTTCCTCACCTATCAAATGGGGATAACAATAGTATCTACCTCATGAAAAGTGAATGTGTTACTTGCACAGTCATGTCCAATCTTCCCATGGACTGTAGCCCACCAGGCTCCTCTGTCCATGGAATTCTTCAGGCAAGAATACTAGAGTGGGTAGCCATTCCCTTCTCCAGAGGATCCTCCCGACCCAGGGATTGAACCAGGATCTCCTCCACTGCAGGCAGATGCTGTACCATCTGCATCACCAGGGAAGCCCATAGGCACTGTTGGAGGATCATAGTGCTCAGCAGAGGAATTATGTCACTAGCACTCAATGATTTCCTACAGGAAATTAATCCTGAATATTCACTGGATGGACTGATGCTGAAGCTCCAATACTTTGGACACCTGATGCAAAGAACTGACTCATTAGAAAAGACCCTGATGCTGTGAAAGACTGAAAGCAGAAGGAGAAGGGGATGACAGAGGATGAGATGGTTGGATGACATCACCGACTCGATGGACATGAGTTTGAGCTACTTCTGGCAGGTGGTGATGGACAGGGAAGCCTGGTGAGGTGCAGTTCATGGGGTCGCAAAGAGTCAGACATAACTGAGCAAATCAACTGAACTGAACTCAATGTCAGGAGCCATTCCACTGTGGTAGTGATTAGTGCTTATTGATGCTATTATTATGATGGAGACTTTAAGAAAAAAAGGTCAAGGTTGAGTGATAGGTAGGTGATGACAGAGTGTACTCTGATCTCTGTTTGCACATTCACTCCTGTTAACACATGGTCACAATTATCTTTAATTTGGCAAGTTACTGAAAATGAGCCTTTTGCATTCGAAATCTGACTAATGATATTTTAACTTACTCCTGTCAAGGCTCTGGTAGCTAAACAGATAAAAAATACCTTCCCAACCACATTTATTCATTCGATTTACATCACTGAAATGTTCAAAAGATGCTGAAATTGATTTATGCCTTGCTTATAGCTTTTAAAGTAGGTTATCTAGATTTTTATGCAAACATATTAATCATAGCTTTCTCTTCTGACAAAACTCATTTAGTGAGACATTTCAGTGGTTGTTCTAGACAGATTAACACAATTTCTAGTAATTTCTCTTCATAAAGTGTATTACCATTCATTAGCTGTAGTATAGAACAAAAATAGATAAAGGAAAGAGTGCCTGCAGAAGAAGAAAACATTCCCTAAAATCAACAATATCTGAAACTCAATTACAGCTTCTGGTTTTAAAAAAAAAGGGTGGTATTAGAGCTAAATAAACCCATGATTATGCTTTCAGGATCCTTTGATAGTGGCCATGGATAACAGGGTTTTTTTAATTAAAATAATGAATTAACAATCATTCACACATCATGTCAAAATCATGTCAAAATTTCCTTCCACTAACATAGAGTTCCTTCATACCATCACCAGCTACTAGTCCCTATTCTACTATCTTAGGCAAATGTAACATTTTCATCTCAAGTTGATGCAAACATACTAACAGTAGTAATAAATATTTCAGAAACAGTACCACTCACAAGAGGAAATGAATTTCTCTAAAACCACTCTTTAATGAGTCACCTCTTGAGGATTAATGCCTAACCAAGAAGAAAAGGCAGAGTCTCATTGTGGTTCTCTAATTTTGTTTCTGATTAATTATTTTCATGAATTCAAGACACAACTTTAAAAAAGAACATGTGAAGAACTAGTATAACTATGTGCCATGGAAAGCATTAAAAATAAAGAAAGGCAGAGCTCAGTGAGGCAGAAAATGAAATGTCAGCTTCTTAAAAGAAATGTCAGGTACAGCATTCATCAAGAAGTTCAAGCAACCAAATTAATCTTATAATTGAAGGTTCTGCAACTTTCTCTTTCCATGTGTTTAAAGTGTACTCTGAGGTATAAGGATAAAGCAGTAATTCACAAAACAAGAAAACAAATACATACAAATAAGATACCTTTTGGATAAAATTTTAAAAATCAATGATTAAAAGAGTTTAAGATAATTATTTCTCTAATTAAAAGTTCCAGAAGGAAACTGAAGGGCAAGAATTGCTTTTAATGTCAAGGATGTGGTTTTAACAGTCCAGAAGCATGAAGGTAATTTATTATTATAATCCACATGAATAATAAAAAACATGTATTTTTAAACTTACCTTCCAACCTTAACCCAATCAGCTGGTATACAAGATACAGCAGAATTCTTTATTTCAATCATAAACTAAAATAAATATAAATAAAAGTTAGATATTTAAATGATTAGCCATTATATTTTTAAATCTTCCACAAAATTGTGGTGTGATTGTCTATAAAGTATTATTCTAAACATTCAAAATAAACCTAGCACTGTTATTGAGAGAGTTCATATATGTCTGTACAACCAAATATTAATAATTAGGGTTTCAATACTTAGGAAAAAGTACAATTTGTACTGAGCAAAAAGGTTGTAATAAAAAATATAACCTGATGATTTAATACCTGTAACACTGTTATGTTCATATTGCAAATAGTGATTTTTTCCTTAATGACCTTTTTCATTCATTTATTAGTAGCATTTATCTTAAGAATTCTATGACTCAGTAATAACACTGAACCTCTAAATACATAAAATTTTTTTTTAATTTTTTAATGTTTTATTATTAGACATTAAATCAGTTTGAGATATGGCCAATCCCTTATTCTAAACAGAAGATTTATTATAATAGCTTTTATCCAAGAAACCTAAGTCCTATAAACATATCATCACACAAAGCACTTAACCCCTCAGCAATTAAGGAAGGAAGAGATTTCCTCACATGAGTATTTTCTTTAAGTTTTCATTTATATGAACTATTACAGATCCAACTGTACTCTACAAGCTTTTCTAAAATCAGCCAGGAAGTAAATGAAATCACTACTTCTATCACACCTTCCATTTTTCACATGAATTATATATCATCTCCTCTTCCTGCTCACATTTCTGTATTATTACAGTGAAATTTAATGTTTCATTTAAATAAAAATATACCTGTTTTTGTGTGGGATGGGACCCAGAAATTCTGTAGTTGCCATTAATTTTGAGATGACTACAGGAAATTTGTCACATACGTTTTACAACATTTTGGTATTTATAACATGCATATTATTAATAGTATCAGCCTGGCTTTTGAGTTTACTTTTCTGTTAATAGAAATACTTTAGCTTTTATATTCATTATAATTGGCATCAATGGTTAATTGTAAGAATTTTTATCCTTAGCAATGATTTTGCAACTAACGATGTCCTCTTATATACAGGAAATTAATACAATTTCAAATCTGACATATCCAGTTAAAGAAAAGAGTTTTTAAAAGTCTCTCCTTTGGCTAAAAAAAAGTAACCAAGGGGAAAAAAAAAATAACAAAATAAATACACTAATGAGAAAGATAAAACCTCTCTAAGAGTATGCTAAAAAATATTCTGCTTAAATATTTTGAAATCTTCTATGAGAAAACATATTGGTGTTTTTATAAATAATTGCGGGAGAAGGTAAGCCAAAGGCAAACAGCAAAATTCAGGGCCCCAGTAGACCACTAACATTTGGGAATAATACATATAACACAGAGTTCCACAGAAATTACTGCCTAAATGATAGTGGAAATTTTTTAAAGAAGCTAAAACTGCCTCAATGAGGTCTCTAGGCAGCCAGCTAGAATAGTGTACTTAAGTTATGCACCATAACTTATGCAGCATGGCAGCTCTGAATCCAAATCCATGCCCTATACACATTACCAACTGCCACTGGTCACACTCCTTTGGAGCACCCTGGGAACAGTTTAGACCAGGGGTCCTCAGGCTTCAGGACCTAATGCCTGATGATCTGAGGTAGAGCTGATGTATTAGTAACAGAAATAAAGTGCACAATAAATGTAATGCACTTGAATCATCCTGAAACCATCACCCACCACTCACTACCCTGGTTTGTGGAAAAACTATCATCAACAAAACTGGTCCCTGGTGCCAAAAAGGATGGGAACCGCTGATTTAGACCATAACTGTTCCGTCTGTAAGTATCCAGGGTCTACTCCAAGACCACAGCTTCTCAAGCAAGCCATTACAGAGTCAATACCAGATGGAAAACAGAGTGAGAACCAGGAAAGCCACGTGGACCTCCTGTTTGTTAGACTCCTGGGGTCACCTTCTCAGGTGCTGGTCCTGTGTGTCGTCTTGGGTTTCTCCTCAGCAGTCACCGACTAGCGGTTTTTCTCTGTTCTACACTAGTTATGGGATAGGAAATTTTCTATTTCTTTTCAATGAACACTCTAAGGATGAGCAGACAAGCTTTTTGTTTAGAGACTTTACTGCTAAAGGAAACTAACAAAAATTGGAAGTTAACATGTATTTCAGAAATTTTAGAGAGTTCTCATAGAAACTTTCCTTGCTCTATGGTTTGTGACTTTGTTTCCTAGGTGTTGATGTGAAAAATTTGTCTAGATTCACTCTTAACAATCTCTCATATTCTTCTGCTGGGATCCAGTTCTGTCATGGTCAAACGTCAGATATTGTTACTTAAACTACAGCCCATAGAATCACTGGGATGGAATCATTGTTAAGTTTGCTGAAATTCTTCACTCATTCCAGAAATTGCTCTCTGTTCTCTCCAAGGCCACACTTCACCCATTCCTGTTCTCCCCTCTTTCTCATTGTTTCTTAAGAATTCACAAATAACTTTTATTTAGATGTAAGATGTAACAGATTACTTTTCATGTCTCAATCATGCTAAGCAGATATCTGGATATGTTGCATGCTGTGAAAATTTTCTAAAGATGTTCCAATAACATTTATTTCCTTTTCCCGTAAGAAAACTACTAATCAAAACTGTCCCAAATCTAAGTATCACCCCATGCCTATTCCATATTTGATTCATTGTTGAGATATAATTATCTCCACACAGAAAACATGAGAGACATTATCACAGAAACAATGAACTATGTAAAGCTATGTAAGTTTCTGCTTTCATTATTTTCTTTCCAGGATTTTTTTCGTTCACTATTTTCTAAACCAGTACTGTCAGATGAAGGTGTGACAGTCACTCAGTTGTGTCAGACTCTTTGCCATCCCATGGACTGTAGCCTGCCAGGCCCCTCTGCCCATGGGATTCTCCAGGCCAGAATACTGAAGTGGGTTGCCATTCCCTTCTTTAGGAATACTGTCAGAGTCAGACACAATAATTCCCCAGAGTCAATAAGGCTTAGTATTCTCATGAATGCATAAAAGCTGGGAACAAAGTGAAAAAAAATGAACAGTGCAAAAAGTAACACTGGTTCAACAGTTTATTTTTACTAACAAACTCACATACCACACAGGGCTGTCATAACAGGTTTTTTAACATATATAACAAAAGTTATATGTATGGAAATATGCTTTCAGCTAGAACAGAAGGGTATAAAATAAGAAGCACATATATATAATACAAGAGTTTTGCCTCCTAGCTCCTTTACTTCTCAGAGGTAATCATATTTGATGGAGTCTGTTTTACTCCTTTAAATCTCTCTAAATTTTGCTGATACCTTCAGTACAAATATTTAAACAGAATTTGATTATAACAATGTTGGATATTTAGAATTTACTTGATGTTTCAATTAACAGCATCAATAATTCCCAAAAGATGTTATAAAGTGATTCTATAATGAAGTACTATGGAGAAGGAAACGGTAACCCACTCCAGTATTCTTGCCTGAAAATTCCAAGGATCGAGAAGCCTGACAGGCTACAGTCCATGGGGTCGCAAAGAGTCAGACACAACTGAGCACACATTTGATTCAAATGAAGTACTATTAAGATTTTAGAGATTAAAAAAAAAAAACAACCAAGAATCTATCCTTTTGTTAAAAACTAAAAAATTTCTTGCCTCAAACTCACCACCTTAACTTAGTAAAAGTTAAGAATAATTGGATAATTTACCTTACTTGATAATCCTCTGTAATCCAATTACCTGGTCTCTATGCTGTGCTTTTTCTTAAATGTCAGCACTATACTATCAATGCTAATCTACTATCCCTTATGAATTCCTGATCAGTTTTCCCCATTTTAACTTTAAAACCCCAAGTGAATCTAAGGCTGTCTTCCAAAACCTTACGTTTTATTTTAATCTGAATAATGCAAGCTCTAAAATGTCTGGATTTTATCAAATAAAATCTTTGATGTTGATAATCTTTTGTGTTAACACTGTTCGTGAGTTGAGTGAAATGACAACATGGTATAAAGATCAGAATCAGGCAGACCTGGGCTGGAAATAAGTTCCAACTTGGGCAGCTTATCTCACTATACTATGCCAAGTCTCAGTTTTCTTTCCTGAAAAACTGGGGGAAAAAAAAAAACCCTTCTGTGCTGTCACAAGGATTCAGTAACATAAGCAAAGCACTTAGCACAATTCTGAACTTTAACATGTGCACAACAAATGGTAACTGTAAGTACTATTATTAAATAATACATGCAAAGTGCTTTATGATTAGAAAGCACTTTCATGCTTTTTAATTCATTTGGTCTTTGCAGTAGTCTCACTTCAGAGGTGACTCTTCCATGGTCACAGTGCATGTAAGTGCTAGAACTGGCAGCTTTCACCACTATAATACCAGGTAACCACTTTTCTACTACACATTTTCATTAATATATTAAGCAACTTTGATTATCTCATTTCCAACAAATAGACCTGAACAGCTGGGTTGAGGTCACTTGTCACTTTGCAAGGTCATAATTATATAGTGAAACCAAGAGATAAAATTAAGTATTTGGTATTTGCCTGTTCAGGGGAGGAGTGAGAATAAGTATACATATTATGAAATCATCTTTTTGTCATATAGAGTTCTATTTAGAATGCATTATAAAATGTGTATAACATCTTAATTTTAATCTAGAAGACAGGTTGACTTAATCAATAGTCTATTAAATTAATAAACATTTTAATAAAAGTAAAGATTATAATTTATTATAGAGTTTCTTCTTTCAAATAATCATACAAATTAACACTCTTTTGGCTAAATAAAGCAATGCAAATATTTTTAAAACTGATCTGAAATTAAGTTTTTCCCCATTAGAAAAATATCTATTTTTTAAAACTCTGAATAAAGTGTTCATCCTATAGAAATTATTCACAAATTTCCTAATTTGCTATTTAAACAAGTAGAGTTTTTCAAATTACTTCACTTGGAATCTTTATATTTTATTAAACATAAGATGTAGAAGTAGCAATACATCAAAACAGAGATACTAATATCAACCTTTAAACAGAAATACACATACCAAAAAAACACATTCTACATAGCACCATAATCTTATGGTGTTTGCTATAGTTTTGTTTTTGTCTTTCTATTTTTTTAGCAGCTATACTCCTGAACTGAACTGAACTGATACTCTTTCAAATAGAAGCCTTGTCATTTAATTACTATGTGATCCAATTAGTGTAGATGGTTCACTCTGTATCATTTATCATCTGCAGACTGGGAGTGAAAGACTAACTTCTCTCTTCTAAAGTAAATGAATTATTTAAAGTTATTATTTACCATAGTCAAGGTTTTCTATAATATAATTTCAATAGATAATACTAAAACACATGTAACATTAAGATCCATGATTTTATCAAGAAACTAAAATAAATAAGCAAACAAAATACTGTCATTAAAAGAAAGTTCTTATCAAACAAGGTATTACAATATATTTCCAAAGAATAAAACAGAAAATCTGAAAAGAAAAAACTTTCATCCTACCATCAAATATTTATTCACACTTTAAAATAGCTTTTCCAATTGAGGAAAATTAATGTAAAAGAAAAGTATTTCAAAACGAAGAAAGAAAAGTATTTCAATATTACCTCCTGTCCTGATACAGTCACATATTGTGCAGAAGGATTTTTTAGTATTTTTCGTATTTCTTGCAAATGTGTTTGGATCTTGTGGGTAACGTCTTGAATTTCATCCTTCCTCTTTTTTATTAAAGGGAAGTCAGAAAGATCTTTGAATAATTCAGTTTTATCTCCAATCCTAAAAAATGAAAAAATGCAAATACACATATTTAAGCATATTATTTATACTAATTATCAATTATTTTTCAAAACATAATGAAAGGGACTCCCCTGGTGGTCTTTGGCTAAGACTCCATACTCCTAATGCAAGGGGTCCAGTTCTCAATCCCCGATCAGGGAACTAGATCCCACAAGCTACAACTAAAAGAGCCTGCATGCCACAACTAAGACCCAACACGGCCAAATAAATAAATATTTTTTTAAAAACATACTGAAAGACCAAAGGGTGGGAAGTCAGGAGAACAAGATTCTAATCCTAGCTCTACCACTAAATATTTATGGGTAAGTTTCTTAATTTCTTTGAAGACAGATGAAATTACGCTAACATCACTTTCATTTTATAAGTTCATGATTGTCATGATGAAACCAAGAGATGACATTCAACATTTGTTGTATATTCAGAAAATAAATGAAAATACTGTCAAATCTTTTTTCCTTTTTTTTTTTTTTTCATTAATTTTTATTAGTTGGAGGCTAATTACTTTACATCATTACAGTAGTTTTTGTTATACATTGAAATGAATTAGCCATGGATTTACATGTACTCCCCATCCCAGTCGCCCCTCCCACCTCCCTCTCCACCCGATCCCTCTGGGTCTTCCCAGTGCACCAGGCCCTAGCACTTGTCTCATGCCTATACATAAAGTTCTTTATGGGATAAAATGTAAAATGACTACCCCTTAAAGGATAACTTTACTTCTGCAGTTTCTACATATAAAGCAGACCATCTCTGGCTATCTAGCAAATAAGCACAAGATGCCATCTGCCATCTACATCTGGATTAATAAACCACTACCACTTGTTCAGCCTGGACTTCATCATCTGATACCTGAAGAAATACCATATTTGTTCTGTATGATGGAACTGCCTAAACGCTAAGGGTTGTTTCCAGCTGTAATACAGAGCCTTTAGTATTCAATCACATTTCTAGTTTTATATGCAACTTCTACTATTAATTCTAAGGGAAGCTTAAGTATCCACATATCAAATGGTAAATTTGTACTTTCACTACTAGAAAGGAAGAACTAAGGGTCTGCTACTTACTTGGCAGCCTGTTCATTGAGTATCTTTAAGTAATGCTCCACTGGACTGAGGAGTTCAGGAATTTCTAAAATAAATGTCTGGAGCAACTCTGACTCAACATGGGAATTCACAGCAGGTATTAGTGCTTGAAATTCTGACCTCAAGTGATACAGGGTTTTGACAATCAGGAAGAACTCCTGCGTAGAACACTGAAAAGAGAAATATTTTTGACCTAAATAGCATAAGATACATGAAAATGAGATTCTGTTAGTGGTCTTTTTAAAGTTAGAATAAAAGAACATTTTAAGTTATTGTATAAATGAGTTCATTGAAATAAAGTATTGTTGATATGTCCTAAATGTTAAATCAGTAGTTTAAGTACTTTATAAGGTAAAGCTATAAAGAAAATTTGAGGCAAGGATAGGAAAACCAATGCTTGTTCAGTATTTTTTATTTTAAAATATGATGATCACATAACAAAAACACAGTAAACAATGTCACAAATAAAAAGAATAATTCTGGGGAAAATCTACAAAATATTTAAGAGATAAAGGTCAAAATTCTTTCAAGTATAATGAGATTTTACAAATTGACATGGAAAAGTTGAATAGTTCAAAGAACAGTGGCTAAATGAACTGAATAAACTCATAGGAAAAAATGTCCAATAAGCACATAATTAACCTCACGTATAATTAGGACAAGCAGGTTAAAATGATAAGATAGCATTTTTCACTTGTCAGAATGTCAAAGATTTAAAAGTATGATAAGAGCCAAGTCACACTGAGTATGAAAAATGACACTTTTATATACTGTTAGTAGAGGTATAACCTTCCTGAAGAGCAATTTGGCATATATTTACAATACAAAGTATAATACCCTTTGACTACACAATTCCATTTTAAAGAATTTTAAAATATTTTTCACAAGTAGTTAAAAAAAAGTTTGTATCTGAATATTTATAGTACTAGTTTTGGTAATAATATTGATGAATAAAAAACAAATACCCAGAAATTGAGATATTAGGAAAAATTCATTCAGTGTACAACTATAAGACAATTAAAAAAACTAACACATCTGTAAATACTAATGTACAGATTAATACTGAACTCCATAATTTCAACATACTAAATGTACATAGTATATTTTTACACTATATACCATATATGTATTTTACACAATAAAATTTCATTTGTGATTCTTTAAATTATATATACTATTCTACAGAAGTTCAAGTATAATTTAACTTTCTCTAGTTACCTCTGGATAGTGGATATGCCAAAGGGTGGTAAAGGAAGACTTTTTACTCTTTATTTTATACTCCTGTATACTGTTGTAATTTTGTAACATGAGGGTGAATAATTTATACTTTTGGAGCTTTGGATACAAAAAGTGGGCTAAACAAGCGCAACTAATTTCACTCTGTCTTGAAGCTATAGTCCAAGATTGTTTTAAAAGACATGAAACTTCAAGAATAATTAGGAGAAAAAGCAACAGCAGTAATCTCTTAGAAGCTACAAAGTAAACAGACTAAAGGTAATTTGACTTTGAAGACTCTAGGTATTTGAGTCTTAAGCTGGCCATAAGGAAAACTAGGACTCAACTTGAGTTACACCCAGAATCCTAAGACTCAGGAATTGGGGGCACAAATTATCTTTGAAAGTGGAAGCTGGGGATTTGGGAATGGAGAAAACAACTGGCTGAAAGTGACATGCAGCAATTAAATCCTTCAGTCCCCTATTCCTCTTCATGTCACTAAAGGGCCACCATTCTCCTACTCTACAAAGACTGTAGTGGACCCTTGAACAATGTGGACATTAGGAGTGCTGACCCTCCACACAGTCAAAACTCTGAATAGAACCCTACAGTCAGCCTTCCATACCTGTGTTTCTGTATCCACGGATTCAACCAAGCATGGGTCACATAGTACTGTAGTACATATTTACTGAAACAAATCTACTGTAAGAGGACTTGCACAATTCAAAATCATGTTGTTCAAGGGTCAACTGTAGTCTTAGTCTCTGGAGAAGGTAAAACATAGGTATCTGAATCATCTTCAGGCACAGTGGAGGATGAGAGTACCACCAAAAGCAAAGGATTAAAAGAATGATTCCAAACTGAACGTTGAGATTCGCAGCTGTCCCCACCAGTCAGAAAGCTGAGAGTCCCTGGGGAGTCTCATAAGCCCAAGGAAAAATTATGAAGACAGCATATAGCAGGAATTCTCCCCATAAATGGACTGTCAAGTTCACACAACAGCTCACCTCATAAGCTGCAAGCCACATCCAACTACACAGAGCTTACTACCAGTGTTTTATTTCCTATTCTTTAAAAATGATCAGACAGACTAAAAATTCTAACATGAAATGTAAACACTAAAATAAACAACTAGTTAATCAACCAACAAATACCAGAAGGAATGGAACCTATACAGGTAGAAGAAAATGTTAACAAAATCCTCAGTTAAACAGAGAATTTTGAAATAAACAGGGAATCATGAATTAAGAATGGTATGTTATTATTTTAAAAGGAACATTCAGAGAACAAGAAAACAACCCCAAAATTGTATAAATTAAACTATGATAGTAGAAATGAAAAATTTAACAAAAGAGGCAGAAAATCAAGGTTCCAAGAAGGTAAAGCAAAAGGATAAAGAGATGGGTAACCTAGAAGAAAGATCAATAATCAGTCCAGAAGATAAGAACTCAAATAATAAAGCTATAAAAGGAGATAAATTTTCAAAAAAATAATTCAGAGGTATATCATATATATACAATGAAATAGTACTTGACATTAAAAAAAATGAAATAATGCCACTTTGCAGCAACATAGATGGATCTAGAGACTATCATACTAAGTGAAGTAAGTCAGAAAGAGAAAGACAAATACCATATGATATCACTTTTATGTGGAATCTAAAATATGACACAAATGAACTTTTCTATGAAATAAAAACAGACTCATTGACATAGAGAACAAATTTGTGGTTGCTAAGGAGGACGGGGCCTGGAAAAGGGATGGATTGGAGTTCGGGATTAGCAGATGGAAACTATTATATGTAGAAGGGATAAAAAACAAGGTCCTACTGTATTGCACAGGGATTATAGTCAACATCCCATGATCAACCATAAGGGAAAAGAAGATATAAAATAAGAATGTGAGTATATATACTACTGAATCACCTTTCTGTATAGCAGAAATTAACATAACATTGTAAATCAACTATACTTCAATAAAAAATAATAATTTTGAATTTAGAATTACTGATCCAAACTTTAAATAATAATTCAGAAAAATTTCCCAGAACTTGGTTGCCAGATTGAAAAGGTCCAATACAATGAATTAAAACAGAATCAAATCACAGCTGATCATCATGAAATTTTAAAACACTGGAGACAAAAGACACAATCTTCCATTTATAGAAGGAGAGAAAAAAGAACCACAGCAACAAAAAAATGTCACACAAAGAATTGGGAATCAGTATGACTTCAGACTGTTTAAAAATAATAGTAGAAGCTGTTGAAAAAGAAAACACAAAATTCTAAAGGAAAATAATTTACAACCTAGAATTTTATACTCAAACTACCAATCAAATGTGAGAGCAAAACAAAGACATTTCCAGACATCACTGTTTCAAAACTCACTCCTAATACCCTTTCTCAGGATGCTTCCAGAGAATGTACCCCACCAAAATGAAGGAATAAACCAAGGGGAAGTCATGAAGTACAGAAAACAGAAGATTCAATTCAAGGGAAATAAAGGGAATCTAAAAAGATAGCTATTCAACAGGTATAGCAGGCAAGAAGTCCAGGTTGGATCAGGTAGGAAGGCTCAAGAACATGAAATGAACAGAATATTTGATGAAAATGAGTACCTTGAGATGAGAGGACAATGCAAGTTTAAGTCAATGGTAAGTACACATCATAAATAGTATATATGTGTGTGTGTGTATATATATATATATATAATGGATGAATGCTTAGAACATATTTAGAAAGATAATTACTTATATAAGAAATGAAGAAAACTATAAAAGAAAGAAAAAAAGAAGCTAGGTTCAACTGAACAAATGGTGAGTTCAGAATGTATCATAAAGCACCTCATCTCCAGAAAGGCTGTGGCTCACTGGGAAAGACACATACAGGAAACTGCACTGTTTGTATGAATATGGAGCCTAGAAATAATTTATAGCCTAGAATTGACCTCGAGTCACTTAATGGTATATCCTAATAAAAGTAAAGAGCAAAAAATAAACATTTTCAATAGAATTTCTGAATAATAATCTCATAATCATTGCAATTTGGTAAGCAAAAAAAAAAAAAGTAATTGGTTGTTCATGCTTAGATATGATATCAAATTTAAGTGAGCAACGGAAATAAGGTGAAAGCCAGAAGTGCTTGCAATCAAGTCCTAAGTGCCCAGGCCAGGCTGCTCTCAAATTTCTTAAGCAAAATGACTCAGTGGAGTCACAAGAAAGCTGAGGATAAGGGTAAAACAGTTTGCTCTTGAAGTCAGTCATGTTCAACCCCATTTCTGGCAGCTGGCTTCTCTGTGGAAGAGCTTGAGAACACACGCACAGTGCAGAGGCAGACCATCACATGACTGGAAGAACCCCAACCTCAGCTCCACACGGAAAACGTGGAGCTGGGCTTCTAGCAGTCTAGCTAAGAAATTAACTATAAAACCTACAAAAGTCTGGAAATCTTCTCAACATTTACTAAGTGCTACACCCTTAGCGACTATGTATCACCTTCTTATAAAAGTTATTATACTTATTGAGCAGTTAATGTGAACTCCTATCACTAGCACTATTTTCTAAGATTTAAGTCTGAAGTCTTACTATCAACAGAAATGTTTATTTTATTTCAGAGTCGGCCCACTTGGTATCCTCTATTATTATCATCATAAAAATACCTATTTGTGCCTATTCCACGGCACTTTCCACACAGCCAGATGGCCTAAGCCTACCACTTCCACAATATCCAAACAGTGTTCCTTAACATTTTCTGAATTTCACAAAATTGGCACAATCTGTACCCAGGATATCACTCACCATTTGGTGCATACAAGCAGAAACTTATTTAGAGTAATCTAATGATAAAGAATAGACATGTGTTTGATGGTATGTTCCAAGAGCCAGCTAACTAATCTATAAAAATGTGGTTTAAAGCATTCAGACTTCCTAAAGTTGGTCTATACCAAATCATTTCTGATCTTCGCTTTTCAAATCAATCTTTAGACATATTCTTGTACAAACACTAAAAGAGCAATAAAGGAACAACTTCTGAGTGAGTCACAAGTTTCATCAGTATAAGCTGAAAGTCTAAAAAGTCATTCCTGTTCTGCATATTGGTTACTTTTAAAAGAAACTAGATTCTATTCTGTATGATCTCACTTGTATGTGGAATCTAAAAAACCAAACAAAAAACCTGAATTAGTAGATACAGAGCACATATTAGGGTTTGTGGAGCATGGTTATGTAGGCAAAATGGGTGAAGATGGTCCAAAGGTAAACTTCCAGTTGTAAACTAAATAAGTCCTGGTGATGTAATGGCATGGCAACCACAGTTACTAATACTGAATTGTGTTTATTTGAAAGTTGCTGAAGAGGCGATCTTAAGAGCTATCTCTCATCAAGAGACAACAAAAAAGCTTTGCAACTTTACATAGTAAAGGATGCTAACTAAAGACTTATTGCGATGATCATATATATTGAATCCTTATGTTATATACCTGAAACTAAAATAACATTGGATATTAATTATACCTCAGTTAAAAAAATTAGATTCTGACATTTACCAGAGTTCTAAACTTTTATAAGTACACAAACTTTGTGAAATGCAAATATCAAAGTATAGTTTAAAGAGAAGCAGGAAGGCATAATAGAAGTCACCACAGTAATAAATGATGATGCCATCTTAATGCCATGGATACTATGATTCAGCTCTTTTGATTAGCCATTGATAATTTTCAGCTTTGCTCCTATCTTCTTTTGAGAAAAACAAATCTCTAACATCTGTCAGTGAATCCTTTTTAGTAGTGAAGGCAATGTGTTTAGAGATCTGCTGCTTGATGTCTTGATGTAGGGTAACAAGCATGGATTATCAGCCACTGGGTCAAGGTCAAAAACAAAATAACAGATGGTATGTCATCCATTCTGTAACCTCAAAAATGTCAGCCATAATACTTCCTACTACTGGAACATCCTCTACTCTTGCCAGCAAAACAGAAACTCAGCAACTTCCCTGGCAGTCCAGTGGTTAAGACTTCACCTTCCAAGGCGGGGGGTATGGGCTGGATCTCTGGTTGGGGAGCTAAGATCTCACATGCCTCATGGCCACAAAACCAAAAGATAAAATAAAAACAGTATTATAAAAAATTTAATAAAGACTTTAAACATAGTACACATCAAAAAAAATAATCTTGGGCTTCCCTGGTGGCTCAGTGGTGAGGGGTTCTCCTGTCAATGCAAGAGACAGAGGTTCGATCCCTAATCCAGAAAGATCCCACATGCTGCAGAGTAGCTAAGCCCATGCACCACAATTATAGAGCCTGTGCTCGAGAGCCCAGGAGCCACAACTACTGAAGCCCACGCACCCTGCTCTGCAACAAGAGAGCCCACTGCAACGAGAAGGCTGAGCACTGCAGCTAGACAGCAGCCCCTACTTGCGGCAACTAGAGAAAAGCCCATGCTGCAGCGAAGACCCAGCACATTCCAAAATCAAAATAAATAAATAAATAAATGATTTTTTTAAAGTCTTGGGAAAAAGAAAACTCGAACACCGTGCATCAAGCAATGAAACAATAGATGCCAACCCCATAACCAAGACATACATTTTTTCCCTAGGGATCAGAATTTCCCAATTTTGACTTTTTCTTTCTTTTCAAATTTAGCTGAAGCATATGGAACAGTTACGTAAGTCCTCTTGGGCACTGCAAGTATTTTCAGAAGCAGCAGTTATTATTCTGGTAAAACAATGTAAATGAAAAAGGCTTAAAAAGGTAAAGACTAATAGAAAATTGGTCACAACTAAGGCTTTTCCAGTAGTCATGTATGGATGTGAGAGTTGGAGTATAAAGAAAGCTGAGCACTGAAGAATTGATGCTTCTGAACTGTGGTGTTGAAGGCTCTTGAGAGTCCCTTGGACTGTGAGGAGATCCAACCAGTCCATCCTAAAGGAAATCAGTCCTGAATATTCATTGGAAGGACTGATGCTGAAACTCCAATACTCTGGCCACCTGATACAAAGAACTGACTCATTTGAAAAGATCCTGATGCTGGGAAAGATTGAAGGCAGAAGGAGAAGGGGACGACAGAGGATGAGATAGTTGGATGGCATCACCAACTCTATAGACATGAGTTTGAGTAAGCTCTGAGAGTTGGTAATGGACAGGGAAGCCTGGCATGCTGCAGTCCATGGGGTCTTAAAGAGTAAGATACAACTGAGCGACTGAACTGAACTAAAATTTTGGGCACATAAAAACTGTTCTAAAAAAAATTATTAAATTGGCAAGGATTTACATTTGGGCAAAAAATAAAAGTTGCTTATATAGGGACAGCCAGGGAAAAAGATTTAATATATTCAAAACTGCTGCTACATCAAAAATGGTATTGTCCAAAAATGTAAGCCACTAAAACCCAGTCAAGGACCCTGGTTTAAATATGAATTCTGTCACTTCTAAGCAAATTATTAACCCTCCTCTTAGTATCATTTTAGCCAAGGTAATGCAAGCTGTCATAGCATTATATAAAGACAGCAATATACATAATTTCCCGCCAGTAAGAAAGTAATAAGTGTTCTTAACCTCACAAAGTTTTTTCTTTTTTTTTTTTTACAACAAAGAGTCTAATGTATATGAATGACTTCTATAGTAGGTAAGACACTATAAAAAGTTTATTAACAATTACAAATATCACCAACTAATAATTTTTTTAATTTTAGGCAATTTTGAAGATAAATTATTTCTCTAACAAATCTCACTTGTTACTGTTATGATTTAAACTATAAAGCTTGGTGATGAAAATCAAAATAATGTGTTTTACTTAGCTTCAATATCCACACTTGTCTGCATATTAATAATACCACAAATATTTTACAAGCAGATTTTTCCTTTGGTTAAGTCAAAAAGAAGTTGTTGTGAGGTCAAAAGAAATAAGGAATCTCTTCTTAAAGTAGCTAGTCTAAGTAAACTTCCTACTTTGATGATGGTCCCCATTTTGAGGATGAAACAGGAGAATATCCTGTATTAGAACAGCCTCTATGTGTTGCTGTAGTTAACAGAAGTGGGCAAACAATGCAAAAATTGGAATAACCTCAGTGTGTGCAATTAAAATCTCTAAGGATTCTCTTATGTTATCTGTAAGATTTTACAATATAAAATAACAACAAAGCTCCGTGATGTTTCCTATTAATATCTGGTATCCCCTAGTGGCTCAAGGGTAAAGCGTCTGCCTGCAATGAGGGGGACCTGGGTTTGATCCCTGGATCAGGAAGATCCCCTGGAGAAGAGCATGGCAACCCACTCTAGTACTCGTGCCTGGAAAATTCCATGGATGGAGGAGCCTGGTAGGCTACAGTCCATGGGATCACAAAAAGTCAGACGCAACTGAGCAACTTCACTCTATCCTCAAGCTGAAGAAAATTAACAATTTTAAAACACGTGATTTCTATCACACTTACTTTTTTGTGATAAATGCTACAGAGTCCTCTCTCTATGTCAGGCAATTTACGTAGATGATTTTCTATCTGACCAAACACACTGGATTCTGAATGGAGAACTTCAGATACAGCATCAAGTCGAGCATTTATTTCCCTGTGGGAACAGAGAAATGGCAATTATCAGATAAGTTAGGAACTCAGAATGTAGGCATTTCCCACTCTAATGCTCAGCACTGTGAAAGCAGCCACTTAGAAAAGCACAAAGGAGACTTCATCCATACCTGCAGCCCTTCTCTGCCCCAAAGACCAGGCACCACACTAGGAAAGTCATTAAACAGATGGAGCAAAGACGGGCTCCATAAGTTTTCCTTCCTCCAGAACAAACACACAGACTACACCCCCTAGCCTCCCCTGCAGTGAGGTATAGCCACGTACCCAAGTTCTAGCCAATGAAATACATGTAGGAAGGATTACATCACTTCTAGTCACAGCCCATAAAACCTCCTGCAGTATTTCACATCCACTCTCTCCCCCTCTGCCAACTGGATGTTGAGCCCAGGGCTATTCTGTGAGCCACCTCACCTGTTGCCTCCATCAGCGTGAGTCTGTGAGTAGAGCCGAAAACCTTCCACCCCACATCTGCTATCAAATGAACTTTTCATTAGCAAAAAATAACCTTTTTTTTTTTTTTTTTCTATTTAAACCATTGAGATGGAGAATTTGCTACTACTGCTTTTATTACCTGGCTAATATAATGGATCTACAGTGAGCAACTGACTTTTCTACTCTGACTTAAATAACTGACCATCTCGGTCAAAAAACACTTCATTCAGCCAACCAGCTGCTTTAGGAGAAGTCTCAACGGTGGTAGCTGAATTGATCATATGCTGGATTGAAAGGGGACTTAGGCACACGGAGCCTGGGCAGAGATTGGAAGCAGTAACAGAAAGGGCAGAGGATAAACATTATAACCTCAGGAAACTATATTCAATATCAGGTGATAAATTACATAACAGAAAAGAATATGAAAAGAATGTGTGTGTGTACATATATATGTGTGTGTGTATGTGTGTATATAATGTGTGTGTGCATATATATATATATATATATATATATATAAAACTGAATCACCTTGCCGTATAGCAATAATTAACCCTATATTGTAATTCAACTACAATAAAAAATTTTAAAAAACATCAGGAGACATGGGAGGCCAGGATTGCAGCATTTTATCAATGGCTACACCTTAAGTGATGGGCCATTTGGAAAGAAATGGTGAGACGGTCAACTCAACCTGGAAACTTGACTGATATGCTCTAAATGAGATAAAGCCCACCCAGCACCTATACATGTCAAAGGCCTACACTAGGTATAATGGCCATATGTGAAAAAGCTGAAATAAGTAAACATATCTAGTAGAAAACGGGCCTTCAGTAAATGTTCTTTTCAAGAATGAATGAATGAACAACAAGCAAGCAAATGAAAAAACGAACTGACATCTGGGGGGAGATGGGGACATCAGCTACTGAATGCACTCTATCAAAATTCTTTTGGTATCACATGCATTGATGTAAAGGGAAACTTAACATCAGAATCCTGCCTACATGACTATTAAACTGTTTTACGATTAATTGAGAGTTTTTATCTTTCTTATCCCTGTAACTGGGCTTCCCAGGTGGCTCAGTGGGTAAAGAATCTGCCTGCAATGCAGGAGACACAGGAGATATGGATTTGATTCCTGGGTCAGGAAGATCCCCTGGAGGAGGAAATGGCAACCCACTCCAATATTCTTGCCTGGAGAATCCCACGGACAGAGGAGCCTGATGGCCTAACAGTCCACAGGATTGCAAAACAGTCAGACACGACACACACATCCCAATAACTATGCTGTGAAATCATGCCTGTTCACAAAGCAGAGGCCAACTTCAGGTATCATTGTTGCTCCGTTTTTCTCTAGCTCATCCTCTGCTGCATAGAACAGGCATTTGGTTTCACATGACAAAGTAGAACAAGCCAGAATTTTGTAGACGCACAGGCTGATTCTTCCATTCTCAATGCTGTGGCCTCTTGAATCTCTTCAGTTTTTTCCATTCTATTGCTTCTACACTAGTCTAAGGAAATATGACCTCTCACAAACAGAACTGTTCTACCAAAACAGCCTCCGAACTTTCCTCCTCACGTCCACCTCTGTCCCTTTTTCCAATCCATTCTCCACAACACAGCCTGAGTGGTCTTCCTAGAACCCAAATCTGTTCATGCCTTGCTTCTGCCTCAAGCTCATCAATGATTTGCATTAATCTCAGATTCAAATCCAGGATCCTTAAGTGACCTGCTTACCTCACAAGTCTCATCTTAGATCACCTGTTTCTCTCTTCTTCTCACTCTAAGTTTCAGTCGGACTGAACTTCTTCCAACATCTTGGTCACTCCAAGTTCTCTGACATCACAGCTTTCTCACCTGCCCCTCACTCTGCCTTGAAGACTGGTTTTCCTTTTCCTCCTGTCTACCACCTTCCACTTTGTTTGGTAAACTCCTTCTCACTCTTCCTCTGAAAGGGCTTTCTAGACTCACTAGACTAGATTTCATCCTTTGCCATCCTTTTCCATACAGTTCTGTTTTCTTTCTATAGTGAAACTTATAACTGTCTTCACCGCCAGACAGTAAGTTCAGTGAGTGTGAGAGTCTGTTTGTGTTCAGTCATATCCGACTCTTTGCGACCCCATCAACTTGTAGCCCACCAGGCTCCTCTACTCATGGGATTTTTCCAGGCAGGAATACTAGAGTGGCTTGCCATTTCCCTCTCCAGGGGATCTTCCCAACCGAGGGACTGAACCCACATCTCCTGAGTCTCCTCCATTGGCAGACAGATTCTTCACCACTGAGGCACCTGGGAAGTCCTAAGCTCTGTGAGAACGGGGATCATTTCTCCAATAGCATAACTGATCATGATACACAGTCAGTAAGTAGCTGCTGAAATCAACTGAATTTCGAAAACTACATAGAAAATAAATTAAGATGAGGTGAAAAAATTAAATTTTCTTTGCATAAGATTGTTAGGGTAAAACATTGATTTATTTTATCACAACGTTTACCCCCAAATGCTATACAAATATAAAGTTTTATTTTAATAGCTCACTCCTGCACAAATGAAAGAAGACACCAATTGAAATAGATTATGTTGATGCTGCAGATGGTATGAGGACAGATAAAATAATGCCATCTGTGAATGTATAAGACAGCCAGATAGCTCCTCTCTCAAAAATTATAAAGGTTGTCTGAGATATGGAAAGATAAAAGCAAGAGAGGTCAATAAAAACTTAAATCATATTTATGAAGTCTTCCAAAAGACTTTTTTTTTAAATATTTTCTTGGAAAATACACAGGTAGTGGCTTTTATTTTAGCCTTGTGACAGCACAGACAAAACCTTGTTCTGAATCATTTTCACATTAACCCAGCCTTCACTTAGGGAGGTTAACAGCTCAGAGGTGAAGAATTTGAGCTAAGAAAACAAATAACCTCAGTTCAAATCCAGGTTCTTTCATTTACCAGTTATTTACACTTGCCCTAGCTTCTCCATCTGTAAAATGGGAATAATAATGATCCCTAACTCATATAGAGTTGTTATAAGGATTCAATGAAATAATACATATTAAGCACTTAGCAGACTGCCTGACACACAGTAACTCCTCAATACTTGTTAGCTGTTACCACCATTATTATACAGACACCTTTGGTGGTGGTGCAATCACTCAATCTTGTCCTACTCTTTGCAACCCGATGGACTGCAGCCTGTCAGGCTCCTCTGTCCATGGGATTCTCCAGGCAAGAATACTGGAGTGGGTATCCATTTCCTTCTCTGGGGGAACTTCCCGACCCAGGGACTGAAATCTGGTCTCCTCTATTGCAGATAGAGGATTCGACTGCAGAGAGAGGAACCTGCAAGCAGATTCTTCAGCGAGTGAGCCACCAGGCAAGCCAGTGACACCTTTATTTGGTTACGAAATCTGTTCAGCAGGTACCACAAACAACAGCACAGGGGAGGGAGAAACAACATGCAAAATGTGAGCTGGGGTATAACCGTGTTTAGACAACCTCTAGGCATAGACATACAAAGCGGTGTTTTGTGCAGAGTGAAAAAGAAAGGATTACACAAGGAAGGCCAGTCCTAGCATCTTAAGTGCTAAATCTGACTGGTAGCAGTGACCTGAAGTGCTGTGCTGAGACTTGATAGGAGGTACATTGAGAAACAATGCCATAACCAATTACAAATGTCTAACACAGGCAGGGAGAGCTGGAGAGGGTGTGCGGCACTATTTACCATGAATTTCTCATTATTGGGGCAGCCATACTTCCGCTTTTAACTCCAAAAAGCAGATCAGAAGGCAAATCAGTAAAAATGACTTCCAATCAAGTTTCTTGGTATATTTCAGAACTGTTCTCTAATTGGTGGGTATAAGACTTTCTAAATAACTGTAATAAAATAATAGGTCAGACCACCAGAATAGAAAACAATTATTTTGGTGCAGTCAATGAGTGTGCTCAATCACTCAGTGTGACTCTCTGCTCCTCTGACCATGGGATTTTTCAGGCAGTGGGTTGCCATTTCCTCCTGTAGGGAATCTTCCTGACCCAGGGATCAAACGCGCGTCTCCTGCATTGCAAGGTGGATTCTTTACTGCTGAGGTATCTGGGAACCAGCCAGTGAGAGAGATCAACAAAACAGGAAATAGCACTGCCAATTAAATGATGACACATATATTATTCTTCCAAGATGTCCTGTGGTACTCTACAATCGATTATACCACAGGATACATTCTAAACAGATGAGAAAGAGAACATCTGAGTCATTCATTTCATTCCATATGACAAAAAAATAATGAACCTAAGGTCCTGCAGATGACAAAGATTCTCCTTTATCACCAAAGATCCAACAAGTAAATGTGGGTGTCACTAGAGTCCTTCACATTTGAAAATCAATGGAGTGATGACGTTAGTATCTGTGGTGTGGGGCTATCACTGAAACACAGCCACTGCCACAGTAAGGACATGTGATCAGTCTGAACCTACTGGTTGCTATTTGTGGAAGATGCCTCTATTATTCTAATATAAGTTTATTTGGAGGGAAAGAGATAAACTACTGGGGAAAAGTTGGG